CCTGTGTGCAGGCCGGCCAGGACGCGGTCCTGGTTCCTCTCAGAGTCCAGAGGTCCAGTCCTGTCGCAGGCAGGGGTGCCCACTCTGAAGGGGACGGCGCTGGCCCGAGGTAGGAACTTCCAAACCAAGGAAGAGAAAGAATTAAAAAAATAACCCTCCCAGGCCGGCCGTGGTGGTGCACGCCTGTGATCTCAGCACTTGGGAGGCTGAGGCAGGAGGATCGATGCGAGCTGGAGACCAGCCTGGGCTGGAAAGTGAGCTCAAGGCCAGCCTGAGCTGCATATCGAGACCCTGTCTTAAGAAGACAAAAAACAAAACAAAACAAAACCTCCCATAAATGATCCAGTTAATCCGAAGGAGAGCACAGCCCTGCCCCGGGAGTAGGGTCCACATAAAGTGATGGTGCCCTGGCGTCTGAGGGGTCCCATCCCAGAAGTGATGGTCTGAGGGTGCTAGGTGAGTGGGAGATGAGACCACAAGGCTCAGCCCACTCTGGGCACTCCTGCCAACAGGTGGGCAGGACACATCCCTGGAGGCCAGTGTCTGGAGGTCCCGAAGCTGAGCAGGGCTGGGGGTCACCTGGACTCTGAGACGGCGCCTCCCCAGGCTCCTTCCTGACCTCCCAACCCCATCCCCCGCACAGCCGCCTGCCCGGCTCCGTCTCCCACCCTGAAGCCCCCTCTGGCCTCCATGCGAGGTGGGAACTCTTCTAAAGCCTTAGCAGACCTCGTTGCTCTCCCTCCCCATCACCAGCGGCTCCCAGTAGCCACAGGAGTGCTGTGTGCCCCTCCTCCGTGGCCTTCCAGACACCTGGCCTCTGCCCCTGCTGTCCCCTGCAGGTCACCGTAGCACCGGGGGGACCAGGTCCTCCCGATGGCAGGCGTGGCAGGACCTGCACCGCGGCTGCAGTGAGTTCCGAGCCCTGTCAGACAGACATGTGGCGGTGGGAGGAGTCCCCGGGATTAGGGTCCACCGAGAAAAGCCAGGGCTCAGGTGGGATGGGAAGGAGGCCTGGGCAAACCCCAGAGGCAGGGCCGTCTGCAGGGCTGAGCAAGGGCAAGGGTCGCATTCCAGCCAGAGCCTGGGCCAGCCACGGGATGGACTGGGCTTGGAGGGGCCCATGGGACGCTGGGACAGGTGGGCTGCAGGAGGTGAGCAGGGTGAGCGGGCGGCAGGTGCAGGTGCTTGGTGACCGCCGTGGCCTCAGACTCCTGACCCCCACAGCCCATCTCCCTGCCGGCCCTGGTGCTCCCCTGCCACCCCTTTGGGAGCTGGAGGCTGTGGACAGAGGGCTCCCTGCGCAGCCACCAGCCAGCCAAAGAGCTTTCTTCGGGCCTTTGGTCTGTCATCCTGGGGCCGCAGGAGGAGGAGTTCTTCCAAGTCGCCCAGTCTCCTATGGGCCTGGGTACAAGAGTGAACGGCTGACGTGGCAACAGTGTCGAGAAGGACAACAGGTTCAGACCAGATTCCCAAAGGGTCTGCTGGCTCCTGTGGGATCCCCACCAGTGTCTCCTTTTTTGGAGACAGACTTGCTATGTAGCCCAGGCTGGCTTTGAACTCCCAGTGATCCTCCTGCCTCAGCCTCCAGAGCGCTGGGATGACAGGTGTGCACCACCGCTCGCCTCCAGGCCCTGCCCTTGCTGAGAGATGAGACTCCTGGGTGAGCTCCCCCAAACCCCTCTGTGGCTCCCAGACCCCTCCCTCCTTGGAGTGAACCCCTGTTCAGACCACAGGAGGCCACACACCACTTCCTTTTCCTTTTTTTTTTTTTCCTCTTTTCCCATTTTTCCTCCTGGCCCAGCCCTGAGTGGGCAGCCACCCAACCGCCGGTCACTCAGTTCGTTGGTCTGGCTGCCTGTGCCCACAGGTCCACCCGGCGCTGTCACATGACCGTCTCCCACTCTTCCTGCAGCAGTGGGCGCGGCCGCTCCGGCCCCGAGGCCTCCTCATCCAGGCCTGAGCAGGAGCCGCGGAGGAACCCATTGTCCTTGGGGGCGGCCGTGGCGGCCCTTGTAGCCTCCATCGTCTCAGGCATTGGGGGCCCTGGCTTGGTGTGGCCAGGGAGCTGGCAGTGGCCATTGGTGGTGGCAGCAGGGAGCAGGCGGGGGCTGAGGGGCAGGCCGAGTCCCCCTCGGGGGCCGACGTTGGTCACACTCGTGTGAGACACCATTGGGCCGTAGCTGTAGCTGCTGCTCCCGCTGCGTGCCTTGCGCTTAAAGTCCAGTGCCAGTGTCCAGCGGCTCCAGGATTTCTTGATCTCAGCCTGTACCTGGGGGTGGCAGGAAGGTACCAGTCAGTTCTGCCCTTGGCCCCTCTGCCACGGTGCCCCCAGCTCCAACAGTGTCCTGTCCCTACCCCTGCAATGCCCCTGCAGCACTGAATGACTCATCACTGGACAACTGCACGGCCAAGCCCAATGCCTCCACCCTCAGATGCTGCCCCGTGGCAGGCAACTGGCCGCCCAGACCCCACAAGTCTTCAGTGGCCCGGGGATGGCTGTGCCCTCGG